CCTGCAGACTATGAGAAATGATTCCTATGTTTGTGACTACTGCAGCCACTGTGGTCCTGGGGATACCCTCAGGCCATGACTGACATAGGTAGCTCATCCTAAGGGGAGAAAGGAAGTAATCCCATGAGCTTCGAACTTGATTTAGCAGCATATTGGAATTCTGTGGCTCTCAAGACTGACACTGACAGCTGCTGTCATGCAGCTGTGATACAAGCTGGTACTCAGGCAGGAAGTACATGCGTCCATCTATCATTGAGGCAGAGGCTAACACCATATGAATCACCCAGGAGACAGATGTATGAGTCTGTGCCTGGTGCTAGTTTTTAATGTTGTACATACAGTATAAGAGTCTGAGATGGAATTATTTGAATACAGTCTCCTCATTCCCAGTTTGTTGTCTATGTATTTTATACTAATGAGAATGGGAGAAGGGTATAAATGCAAAACTGTCCCTTCTACCTCCATGATGGATTATCTCTCACTATTAACAAGTTTCATTTTGTCTTCCCCATGCAAGTATGTTATTGTACTTTCTCATAGTCATCTCTCATTGCCAACCTCAATGGTTCTGTCTCTTCCCGCATCCGCTTTTATGTCTTGTGTATTTTTTAAACTTTGATTCCACATGACCTGTCTTGAAGCTCACATTCTTTCTTCTGCTTGATAAATTTTCCTACTGATGCTCTCTGTCAAAAGAAAACACTGTCTTTGTCTTTTTGAGTCTGGCTTGAGCTCTGCAGGTCCCATCCCATCCCTGACAGCAGCAGCAGGGACAGAGACAGCTCCACACTGCCACCTCCAACAGCTGAGGAGTCCCTTCTGTGTTTGGCGGACCTTGACTCAGGTGAAACTGAACCCTTGTCTTGACACAGAACAGAATTCCAGTATAAGCCAGTATGAAGCAGAGTTGGGGTTTGTTAAAAGACATTTTTTTTTTCAAGGGGCTGAAGAGCTATGCTCGTGGTTAAAGGTACTTACTGCTCTTGCAGAGGACCCAGGTTTGATTTCCAGCACCAACATAGTGTCTCACCACCATCTGTAACTCAAGTTCCAGGGGGTTCAATGCCTCCCTCATTCTCCTTGAGCACTACATGTACATGATGTAATCCACACACTAGGCTAAAGCACTTACACATAAAATAAAATAAAAATTTCAAGGACATTTTAGCATAGGTTTTAAGGGTTAGGAGAAAGAACATCACTCAGAAAGGAAGCCCCGCCCAATGGTATGAGAAGGGCTCTTCAAGAGTCCTTTCAGTAGCATGCACATTTTTGGAGGGTTTTGAGGTCACAGCTTTCAAAGAGGTTCCATGGAATCATAGGGTGATTGCTCAGTGTAACTGACAGGATTACAACATTGCACAGAGACAATGGACTTTAGGACAGCTTTATTGTGAGTAAACTCAACAGTCTTGTGAGGATCCCAGAAACTATTCAGGAATAAAGCCATTCCTAAATATAGGTTACAAGCGCTTGGGCCTTAAGCATGGTTCGGTTCATTACTATTTTAGCATAAAATATATTTGCATGAAAGGATCATTGCCTCTGCACTGGCAAACTTCCCAGAAATGTTATAAATTATGCTAAGATTCTTGATCTTCAGTTGATAACAGGCCTCATTCAACTCCAGTGAGGTGTCCCATAATTCTCATCTTCCCATTCTGCCTCACTTTTCTGCAAATGATATAATCCCATTCTTCTTTGAAGTGTGACTAAAACCTGCCATACATCTGTCCGTAGACCCCAAGGCTGACTCCATATTCTGGCTATTCTGAATGGCTCATCAATAAACAACACACAGGTGTCTGTGGTGTGCTGACTCAGACTGCTTAGAGTAAACATCGGAAGGAGTATGGTTGGTGGTACAGCTGGACTGCAAGATAGTCCCATTTTTAGCTTTTGAGGAAATGCATCACTGTTGACTGAGATTTCTGTCCTGCCTGGTCCTTTTATCAGCTAAGCATTCTCATCTTGCTTCCTCTGCGTCTGGGTTACAACTACAGACTCAACCTTTCCTCTTCCCAGAATTCTCCTGTTCTCATCCCCATGCCTAGTAGCCCATCTATACTACTCCCTGTCTGGCTACTGGCCAATCAGTGTTTTATTAAAGCAATACAAATGACAAATCTTTACAGGATACAAGATCATTGTCCCACAGCACAGCACCCATTCCCACAGTGTCTGGTTTCATTTTTATTACTACCAGCAGTGCACGAGGAATCCTTCTTCATCTATACACCCTCACTAAGGAAATCCTAGTCCTTATTTTCTTGAGGATAGGTCTAAAGGGCTTCTTATGTTTAACTTATTCTACTTCTCTCTATACTCTGGATATTAATCCCCTGACAGACGTGTAGCTGGCAAAGTCTTCCTCCCATTCTGTAGGCTGTCTTGCCTCCCTGTGAACTGCTCCCTCTGTGCCTATTTGCCAACGCTTGCTGTAACTTCCTGAGCTATTAAGTCCTTTCCAGAGAGTGCCTGCCTGTATATCCAGCTTGAGGGGTCTCCCCTGCCCCGAGTTTCCAAGTCTTACTGCAGTTACATTCAGTCATGGATGAGCTAGCATAGTTTTCTTGGATCTTTCCTTAGCATGCATGTAGGTGTAGACAGAAGCATGACATGTGAGAACCAACAAATACATGACATACACGTACATGTCTAGGCAATTATCCCGATATTCAAAAAATTCAGGGTATCTCATCCTCACTCTACCCTCTTGGCACCATTTGGGCTTACTGCCTGAAGCACCTGAGGTGAAAGATGGATTCCCAGAATAGTACCACCTTCACAGACCCAAAACTGAGTCAAGGGAACTGAAGATGTGTTCAGATGGAAGCGCTGTTTTTAAGAGCTGCTGAGCAGTTAAAATAATGACCACGTCTGGGAGTCGGAGCTTTGAGGGAAGGAGGAGAAAATCCTCCCCTAGAGAGGCTGCACGTTCCCTGTATTCATAACTACCATGGAGCCAGATACTGCTTTCAGTTCTTGGTTTGCATTTGGTGGTGTGACAGGTGGTACACAGCTGTGGAGGTCAGGGGACAATTTTGCAATGCTCTTCCACACTGTGTGTTCTGGGGCTTCCTTCTCAGACCACGAGGGTTGGCCACTCTGCCCAGACTTTAAAAGTGACCATAACTGGTAAAATGACAAGCAAACTGCTACAAAGCTTCTTTGCTTGGTGAGATTCACATTCTTTTGTTTTCTTGTGTCTTTGCAAAGCTTTAGTTCAACCCCACACTTCCAAAATGGTGTTTGTTTTCCCCTCAGGTGGGTTGTCAGGATTCTCAGAGTGATGGTGAAGGAATAGCTCCCAAATCTCTAATCCTAAAGTACAGTTTTGTATTTGGGGTTGTTGCAGAAACCATCAAAGTAAATCATTGAATTATGAACCTGTGTCATACACAGATTTTTCACATATTCTACAGTTCATAGGGAACTAATCATAATTTCCCAACTTCTCTGTTAACAAGAAATACACCACTAGCTTAATTTAAATGTTTCAACCAACTACACGTTCCTGGAGGGGAGACTATTTGTTCTTAACCCGTCACTATTTTTAAGTATGACAAGATTCACTAGGTAAGTTTTTATTTAGGTTTTTTACATTAATTTAAAACAGCATTACAATGTAGCTTCCTTCCATGTAACATCTTTTTCCATATTTGAGCATCTTAAAGCTGCAGGGAATAATAGACTTTTTAAAAATGAGCTCTTCTGGGCCAGAGTGGCATTTTAACATTTTGGTACATTAAACCAACTAAAAAGTTTTCTTTAAAATGAAATCTACAAGTCACCAATGTCAAGGTGACCCAGAGACTGAAGACAGCAGCACAAATTACAGTTAAAAAATAAATAGTCGAGAGACGGCTCAGTGGTTGGGAGTTCATCCTGCTCTAGCAGAGGACCTGAACTTGATTCCAAGCATGTATAAAGAGCAGTTCCCAACCACTTATAACTCTAGCTTCTGGAGGATGCAACACCCTCTTTCTGCCTCCCTGGGCACCTGCACTTACATGCTCACACACACACACACACACACACACACACACATGCAGTTAGAAATAAGAAATAAGTAGTTTTCAAAAGATTAGGTTTTGCTTTCACATTAGGTTCTAAGTCTCTTGGACATAGCTATAAGACTGTTTTGTTGTTGTTTTACTTAGTTTTTTATTATTGTTGTTCTTTATACAAAGCTATGTTTTGGTCAGTGCCTACACAGGTAAATTCCCAACTAAACAAATAGCAAACATCTCATATTTTCAACAACTGCGATTTTTACACATTCATGAAGATTTTTTTTAAAAAAGGAAATTAAGAAATTAAATGTTAGTTAATTTTGTGTTCCATGTAAATAGAAATTTTTAATAACTCTAATATATTGCAAAGCTATTCTCCTTAATTTTTATGATGTCATAGTGGTGCTTAAATGTTGATGTGTGCAAAGTAAACTTTCAAAAACATCCTCAATGAAGGTTGCTGGGAGGGCTGAGGTTTCAGTTTCTCTGCAAGTTCAGTAAGAAGGAAAGGTTGGCCATAAAGTCTTATGTACTAAATAAATACATATTTATTTATGTATTTTTAATGCATGAGTGCTCTGTCAGCATGTACATCTGCACACCAAACTGTATCAGATCCCATTATAGATAATTGTGAGCGTGGTTGCTGGAAATTGAACTCAGGACCTCTGGAAGAACAAACAGCCACTGCTCTTAACCACGGAGCCATCGCTCCAGGGATTGGTAAATCCTGATGCACAGTCCAGAAAAAGTATTTTACTCTTATTGGTTCCTGGTGGCCTGCAGGAAGCAGGACTGACAAAAAGGCCAACTTTGTGATACCCTGAGAAAAGGACGGTCCACTCGGGCACTAGAACATTGGATCAGGGTGCTAATTCTGCTGTCCTACTCTGTGAACCACAGGTCCTTCTGATGGCAGTCCTTCCATGAATCTAACATAAACATCCCTGGCCTCCACGTCCACCTGCACGGCTTTCTTGGGAGATGAAGCCACTTAGCCTCTCTCTACTCGCAGTGACCATCCTTCTTTGCTGTAATATGACTCAGCCTATATTCAGGAGGAACAGGGGTAAGGCACCGTGATCCTGGGTCTGCTTGGGTAGGAAAGCCTTTCCTCTGAGGAACCCGTGGAGACATTGATGCCTGAAGCATGATTCACAGCTCACTGGCTCCTGAGACTCACCTTGTGGTATTCTTCTACAGCTTTAATCAAATCCGGGTACTGCCCAGAGTTTCATCTTTCCTGCCCTTTTGTCCTCCTGCCCCTATGCAAGCGTGATATAGGCTGCAAGGAAGCCAAAAAGTGTTGCTTCTACTACTGTCAGAAGCGCTGTACAGATCCATGGAATGCTTTGAATTAGGTGAGCAACCCCGGACGTGTTATTCTTGATGCTCCTTCTAGAACCCATGTGGAGTTCATTGCCTTGTAGGCAACTGCAAACTGTCTCTACCTCTAGATAGTGTGGCAATCAGAGCATCTGAATTAATTAAGATTGTCTAGAGATTTCCCCCTTCCTCAGAAAATATGCTACCATTGCACTGGTGGGTGTCACCCTTTCCAACATACTAAGAACATCTGAATAAGATTACCCCTAAGTTCCTCAACTACCACTGAATGTTTCTTATGTTCAGTTTTCCCTTCTCATAGCTTATAGCAATAAAGCATTCCCACTAAACCTTAAATTATGAAGGGATTATGAAATTATAATTTCCTACTTGACTTGCTGTGTAGAGCCGTTCATGGTCTGCCCCTAGCTCCCTGACAGCACATCTCAGTGTTCTGGAAAGAGAACACGTGGTAAGAGTCAGGTCATGGTGACCAGCTGACCCAGAACCATGTCCCCAGCACAGTTTGCATCTCATCTTATCTCTGTTCTTTCTAGACAAAAATGAGAAGACGCATTTGGTACAGTCTCAGTCTAGGATAGTTGGCCTCCAGTTCTTCCTCGGTCCTCACAAGCCCTTCCAAGAGTTAAGCATTTGTTAATGAACACAAAACAAAGGAATAAAGAGTTGTGTATTTGTCTATTTTCCAGTACAATTAAGAATCAAAACTACCTTAGGCTGGGATTTTAGAAACCAGAAAGATTTACAACACAGCATTGCAAGATATACTTGAAAGAATGTACACAAAACGGAAAGGAAGTTCCACTCTGAAGAATATAGGAAAAATTTATTTCATGAGAGGAATAGGTGAATTCTTATATACTCTCCATTGATGTGACAAAACGCATAACTATAAAGAAAGAAGGGTATGTCTGGGGTCATGGTTTGACAATGCTACCCATCACAGTGAGAATGGTACAGGGGAACCTGATATCTGACAAATCAGACTTTAAAACAAAAATTGGTCAAAAGAGATAAGTCATCCAAATTCAAAGTCAAAAAGAAACTGCAGAGTTAAACTATACAGTAGGTCAAATAGACTTAATTTGGATGTCTATAGGATATTCCACCCAATGGACTTTGTTCTCAGCAGAATTATCTAAAACAGGCTACATTATAGGTCACAAAACAAACTTAATAAATAAAAAGTAATCAAAACAATTTCTTGTATATTATCAGTGAAACTATGTTGGAGGAGGCCAATTGTTGGTTCCCACTGCCTGGTGGCTTAGACTCGAAAATAATCACACAGAAACTGTATTAATTCAATCACTGTTTGGCCCATTATCTCTAGCTTCTTGTTTGCTAACTCTTACATCTTTTTTTTTTTCGAGACAGGGTTTCTCTATAGCTTTGGAGCCTGTCCTGGCACTAGCTCTTGTAGACCAGGCTGGCCTCGAACTCAAAGAGATCCGCCTGCCTCTGCCTCCCGAGTGCTGGGATTAAAGGCGTGCGCCACCACCGCCCGGCAAACTATTACATCTTAATTTAACTCATTTCTATTATTCTATGTATCACCACATGGCTGTGGCTTACCACACATGGCTTCTTTCCAACTCCTCCTTCTTTCTCCCAGCATTAAGTTTAGTTTTCCCTGCCTACCTAAGTTCTGCCCTGCTATAAATCCAAAGCAGTTTCTTTATTCATTAATAAACACAGAGGGAAATCCCACATCAAAACTAGAAGTCAAGAGCAAGAGAAACCATACTTGGGGACTGAATAATACATTCTTTTTTTTTTTTTTTTTTTTTTTTTGGTTTTTTCGAGACAGGGTTTCTGTGTGGTTTTGGAGCCTGTCCTGGAACTAGCTCTTGTAGACCAGGCTGGTCTTGAACTCACAGAGATCCGCCTGCCTCTGCCTCCCGAGTGCTGGGATTAAAGGCGTGCGCCACCACCGCCCGGCTATACATTCTTAAATAATAAAGAGATAAGAGAGAAAAGAGCTCATAGGACAAAATAAAAATGGGAATGCAACTTTACCTTTACAAAGCAGCTAAGGAAATTCCAAAGGCAAGTTTACAGCTACTATAGTTTATACAGTGAGTCATTGTGAAGATTGGGTAGGAAACTTAAACCATCAAACAGTCAAATTTAAATTAAAGCACCATTTAGGAGATCCTCAGAAATATAGCTAAGGCAGCTCTAACAATACTTACATTTATCATCGCTTGCCTTCAAAAAATTACAAGAAAAACCTCAAATAAATAACTTAGTCTTGAACCTCAAGGTCCAAGGCAAACAATGACAAGCCAAACTCAAAGCAGTGGGTGGCAAGAAGTACTAAAGATCAGGGCAGAAATACATTAAATAGAGATGAAAAGGAAAGCAACTACAGAGCCACAGAATCAGGACATGGTACTGGCACAAAAACACATCCAGACCAGTGACGGGGGAACAGAAGAACTAGAAATAAACCTGTAAGGATACAGCCACTTGAGTTTTTCCAAAGATGCCAAAATCCACTTCCCCAGATCTGGCATCCATAGCACAGATGTGGTAGCCCACGTGTGGCTCAGTTTCCATCTGAAGCCAATTCTGACTTTTAGAAAAGTCATTTTAGTTCAAGCTTACCTGCTCTGCTTAGTCCAGTATCCTTGAGGGCTGTGAGAAAGTTCCAACTAAGTCCATAGGAAAAAGCATTTTGCCCATGAGAAAACAACACACTATCTAGTAGAAAGAATACTGCTGATGTCAAACCTTAGGAATATCGAGATAGAAATTGAAACTGTTTGCTCAAGGACAGGAATGGTCTATGGTGAGATACTGACTGTCTATGCTGTGCTTTGTTGTGCAGTTGTATGTAAGCAATTTCTGAAATAAACTCGGGGCTGTGCAGAGTAAGCTGGCAGTCTCCCGAACCTATTCTGTGCTTTCTTTCAGTTGGTCATTTCCTTAATCCTCATACCCCTACCCAGATACCCCAGCTGGTTTGATTGGAGCAGGCTCTGACAAGTGGCACCCAACATGGGGCTGGACATGGGGATTTTCATGGTAGACACTGTGGGTTAAAAGAATACATTCAGATTCAAGAGCCCATGTAGGTAAAAGTGAGTAAATGCATGGTGTAAATTAAAAAAGTGTAACTTGAGTTTAAATGTAAAGATAATTATGGGTCAAGGAAATAACAAACCGTTATTTGTACATTTGTTTAAAAATACTTGAAAAGCCAGAGGTGCTAAAGCAGGAAATCAACAACTGTAAATTTTTAGAGTTTGTACATTTACTTATAGGTATTTTAAAGGTTAAGGGTACTAAGGAAGGGAAACAGCAATTCCTTCAGTTTTTAAAATATATAAAGAATGTGTACCCCTGAATCTAGAGATTTAAAAAGGTATGAATGAGAGCTCTTTGTCTTGGTCTGTGTTTTGACCGTTAAACTACATTGTTGTTCTGTTTTATGTGTTCATGTCTCTAAAAAGCTTAAGTGGTACTGGTACCTGGTTGTCTGTCATTATTGTTTGTTTTTGTCTATTAACTTCCTTTGTTGTCCTAGAGGAGATGAGGCAAGGAGCCTCTGCCTCTATCCCCCTGAACAGTTTATTGGATCAGTTCCAGGATTTTGGGCCACCTCCCTCCACTGTTCTCTGACCTGCAGTCAGCCAGCAGCTTACAGAGGATGGGGGTGCGCATGCGCAGCTGGGCAGAGACACTACTACAGGGAGACACGCTCACACGAACTGGGCAGTGGGGAACTGACTGCTTGTGAAACAAAAAATCTGAGCTTGTGACCAGAGAAGTTAACAAATTGTTTTTCAAAAACACTGGCAGCCAAGGACACACTCTACGCCCACCAGCTCTGTTCCCCCTCCTTCTCTTCCTAAGCCAAGTTCTCCACTGTGATAACACTCAAGGTCTCTTCTGGGGCCAGCAGCTTCCCATCTTAACCCTTTTCTGCCCTGATATTGCTTTAAATAAAAACTGTTAAATGATGCTAATCTGTACATTTTGGGAAGCTTTGGCTTTAAAATAAAAGTCAAAGATGCATTCAGTTTGGGAAAAAATTATGCATTTCTTTTTACAGGAAAAAATATATCAGTTTTAGTCATTTATATTCAATAGGTTACAGATACTTAACATCTTTTTAAAAATTTGGTTACAAATTATTGATTAAAATAAAAAAACTGACACCCTGCCCCCAAATCCTCCTATCCTCCTGCAAACTCAGTGGAACTCTGAAACACACCTTGTTCCAATACTGAGGCACAACATATCCAAACCTATGGGACACTATGAAAGCAGTGCTAAGAGGAAAGTTCATATCACTAAGTGCCCAAATAAAGAAAACCGAGAAAGCTCACATTAGTGACTTAACAGCACACATGAAAGCTCTAGAACAAAAAGAAACCGACTCACCCAGGAGGAGTGGATGACAGGAAATAATCAAATTGAGGGCTAACATCAATAAAATAGAAACAAAGAAATCAAAACAAAGAATCAATGAAACAAAGAGATGGTTCTTTGAGAAAATCAACAAGATAGAAAAATCCTTGTCCAAACTAATCAAAAGGCAGTAAAATTAACAAAATCAAAAATGAAAAGGGGAACATAACAACAGACACTGAGGAAATTCAGAGAATCATTAGGTCATACTACAAAAATCTGGACTCCACATAATTGGAAAATATAAAAGAAATGAACAATTTTTTAGATAGATACCACATACCAAAATTAAATCAAGACCAGGTGAGCAATTTAAATAGCCCTATAAACTGCAAGGAAATAGAAGAGTCATCAAAAACCTCCCAACCAAAAAGACCCCAATGCCAGATGGTTTTAGCGCAAAAGTCTACTAGAACTTCAAAGAAGAGTTAATACCTATACTCCTCAAAGTGTTCGAAACAGAAGGAACGTTGCCAAACTCTTTTTATGAGGCTACAGTTACCCTGATACCAAAACTACATAAAGACTCAACCAAGAATGAGAATTACAGACTAATCTCACTCATAAACATGGATGCAAAAATACTCAATAAAACACTGGCAAATAGAATCCAAGAACACATCAAAAAAAAAATCATGCACCATGATTAAGTCGGCTTCATCCCAGAGATACGGGGTTGGTTCAACATACGAAAATCTATCAATTGATCATCATATAAATAAACTGAAAAAAAATATGATCGTTTCATTAGATGCTGAAAAAGCATTTGGCAAAATTCAACACCCCTTCATGATAAAGGTCTTGGAGAGATCAGGGATACAAGGAACATGTCTAAATATAATAAAAGCAATATACAGCAAGCCAACAACCAACATCAAATTAAATGGAGAGAAACTCAAAGTGATTCCACTAAAATCAGGAATAAGACAAGGCTATCCACTCTCTCCATATGACTTCAACCTAGTTCTTGAAGTTTTAGCAATAGCAATAAGACAGCAAAAGGAGATCAAGGGTATTCAAACTGGGAAGGAAGAAGTCAAACTTTCATTATTTGCAGATAATATATAAGTGACCCCAAAACTGTACCAGAGAACTCCTACAGCTGATAAATACCTTTAGTGATGTGGCAGGATATGGTATCAACTCAAAAAAATCAGTAGCCCTCCTATACACAAACGATAAAGAAGCTGAGAGGGAAATCAGAGAAACATCACCTTTCACAATAGCCACAAATAACATAAAATATTTTGGGGTAACACTAACTAAAGAAGTGAAAAACCTATTCAACAAGAACTTTAAGACGTTGAAGAAAGAAACTGAAGAAGATATCAGAAAATGGAAAGATCTCCCATGCTCTTGGATTGGTAGAATCAACACAGTAAAAAGGCAATCCTACCAAAAGCAAACTATAGATTCAATGCAATCCCCATCAAAATCCCAACACAATTCTTCACAGACCTTGAAAGAACAATAATCAATTTCATATGGAAAAACAACCCAGGATAGCCAAAACAATCCTGTACAATAAAGGAACTTCGGGAGGCATTACCATCCCTGACATCAACCTCTGTTACAGAGCTACAGTAACGAAAACAGCTTGGTATTGGCATAAAAACAGAGACCTGACCAATGGAATCAAATCGAAGCCCTGGATATTAATCCACACACCTATGAACACCTGATTTTTGACAAAGGAGCTAAAATTATACAATAGAAAAAAGAAAGTATCTTCAGCAAATGGTGCTGGCATAACTGGATGCCAACATGTAGAAGAATGAAAATAGATTCATATCTATTCCCATACACAAAACTCAAGTCCAAATGGATTAAAGACCTCAATATAAATCCGACCACACTGAACCTGATAGAAGAGAAAGTGGTAAGTAGTCTTCAATGGATGGGCACAGGAGACCACTTCCTAAATATAACACCAGTAGCACAGACACTGAGAGCCACAATAAATAAATGGAACCTCCTGAAACTGAAAAACTTCTGTAAAGCAAAGAACACAGTCAATCAGACAAAAAGGCAGCCTAGTGAATGGGAAAAGATCTTCACCAACTCCACATCAGACAGAGGACTGATCTTCAAAATAAATAACAAACTCAAGAAATTAGACATTAAAATTCTAAATAACTCAATTTTAAAAATCTCGATTTTGAAATAGAGATTTCAAAACAGAAAAATCTCAAATGGCCAAAAGATACTTAAGGAAATGTTCAATATCCTTAGCCACCAGGGAAATGCAAATCAAAACAACTCTGAGATATTATCTTACACCTGTCAGAACGGCTAAGATCAAAACCACCAATGATAGCTTATGCTGGAGAGGATGTGGAGTAAGAGGAACACTCATCCATTGCCAGTGGAAATGAAGACTTGTGCAACCACTTTGGAAATTAGTATGGCAGTTTCTCAGAAAATTGGTAATCAATCTACCTCAGGATCCAGCAATATCACTCTTGGGCATATACCCAAAAGATGCTCAAACATACTAAAAAGCATTTGTTCAACTATGTTCATAGCAGCATTTGTAATAGTCAGAACCTGGAAACAACCTAGATAACCCTCAACTGAAGAACGGATAATGAAAATGTGGCACATTTACACATTAGAGTACAACTCAGCAGTAAAAAAAAAAAAAAAAAAGACATCTTGAATTTTGCATGCAAATGGGTAGAATTAGAAAATGCTATTGTGAGTGAGGTAACCCAAACCCAAAAAGATGAATATGGTATGTACTCAATCATAAGTGGATACTAGCTATAAACAAAGGATATTGAGCCTATAGTTTATGATCATTCCCTCCCTTTCTTTCTCCTCTTTTTTTTCTTTTTTTTTTTTTTGGATAAGGATTAGAATTTTGAAAATTTGGATTCAAAAAGCCATTCAGTGCTCAAAGCCCAGTGAGCTGTTATGGAAGCTTGGAAGATAGGAATGAGAAAGGTATGGGGTCTACAGCCATACCACCCTGAACACGCCCAGTTTTGTCTCCTTTCAGGGTTCACCCTCACTCTCCCAGCCCTCTGTCTACTTTACACGTACACACAATTAACCTAGAGTCCCATATGAGGAAAAACCATGAAGCATCTGGCTTTGTTAATTGTTTGTTTTTTTTCAAGACAGAGTTTCTCAGTATTTCCCTGGCTGTTCTGGAAGTCGAGCTATTGACAAGGTTGGCCTTGAAGTCAGAGACCCACTACCTCTGCCTCCTGAGTGCTGGGATTAAAGGTCTATGCCACCACCACCCAGGGAAGCATCTGTCTTTTGGTGTAAATTATTCCATGTTATGAGTCCCCATTGCATCCAATTTCCTGAGGAAGTCATGTGACAGATATACTTTTAGTTTCTGAGAAACTTCCACATTGATTCTTATAGTAACTGACTTGACTTATGTAGTGATATTTTGTTTATGATCTGACATATAAGGTTTGCCTGAAGATCAGAGTGCAGAGCTAAACCACCAGTTAGCCATAGAGGCCAGCCAGAGGTGGCACACACCTTTAATCCCAGCACTCAGGAGACAGAGGCAGCTGGACATCTGTGAGTTCAAGGCCATCCTGGGCTATGTGAGAGTCAATCTGTCTGAAAGAGAAACAGAGCTCACACAAAGGTGATCCCAGTATTTGGGATTATATGCCTTTAATCCCAGCACTAGGGAGGTGGAGACAGGAGTGATATGGCTGGGCGAAGAGAGGAATACAAAGCGAGAAGCTCAGATGCAGTCTGAGGATATAGTCTGAGGTTTTGTAGAGACAGCATTCAGTATGAGAATTTGTAGAGACAGAACTGCCCCTACGCTCTGAGCATTAGTAGAAACTCTCTAGTGGCTGCCACTCTGCTTCTCTGATCCTTCCGTTTCCACCCCTAATTTATTATTGTGACCAATTAGAATTTGTCCTACAGATTTACATGACCACGGTGTTTAGGGGTCCCTTATCTTTGAATCCCCACAAGCATCTGTTACTTGCATTTTTGATACAATAATTTAAAGCTTTCTATATTACATACAAATCCCTTAGCCAATTATTATAGTTTTACATTTTAACAAATTTATCTTTTGATCTTCATATTAAAGATATGAGTGGGGTTTTTGTCATCTTTTTGTTTTGTTTGGGGGTTTGTTTTATCTTTTTAATAAAATAACTTTATTATTCTTTGAGAATTTTATACACTGAATTTCCATCATGTTCACCCCACTCCTTCTCATAACTCCTTCCAGATCCACTTCCCCACCTCTCCACCCCTTCCCGACATCAAGTCGTCCTTTGTATTTAATAGCCCACTGAGTCAAATTTATACTGCCCATATGCTAATGAATGTGAGACCATCCACTGGAACATGGTTGCCTACCAGAGCCCACAAGGCTAACTTATATGCTGCTATTATATGCTGCCTGTGAGTTTACTTTTTTTTTTTCCTTCCCCCATTCCCCGACTGGTTTTTTGCTATGTAGCCCAGGCTGGGTCAAGAACTCAAGACCTATGACCTCACTAGACTTAGATAGTTAGCCAGGTTTCTAGTATCGAGTGGGAGAACCTGTCTCCAAAAAAGGCAGTGGAAACAGAGGAAATGTCAAAATTACTTATAAACCTTAATGTTAAATCCCATAGTGCATATGAAATTTTCCATAAACCTAGAAAGAATAATGCTAGTAGTCCATTGCACTATCTTGCTTTGTCTTTGCAATGGTGTGGATAGGACCAAAAGGAAAGCCTCCTGAGCAGCACTTGGAAAAGTGGTGTTTCAAATTCTCTGGCTACATGATAAGAGAGGTGGGATAGCTAGCTGAGACGCAATGCTCTGAACAGCAACTTTCTTGCTTCCTGAACCTACAGCGTAATTTACAAACTAGGAAAGGCCAGGCCAGCCCTGCTAGAGACCCTTAAGAGCAGAACATTATCTCCCTTCCCCCTTGGAAAGCGGGTAGGGGTCCACAGAACTCTCACGCGGGAAAACGCTCCCCTACCTCCAGTACCTCCAGGACCCCTCCGCATCACCTCTTCTCTTTACGCTAGGTTTCAACACGCTGAGGCAAAGGAGGATGGTTGAAAGGAACCAGCTAAGTCCTTCCGGTTCTGACTGATGCATTTCCGCTTTTCTGGCCTGTGAACCAGAGCGACCCCTGCTAGTTATCCGCCACCTGGTGCTGATCCAAACAGATCCTCCCTCCATGTTCGCCTGGAAATTTTCATAGGAAATGAAGCCACGCAGCCTCACACTGTTCACAACAACCATTCTCCTTTGCCTCAGCATGGTACAGCCTAGAACAAAGAGAATAGGTGATGTGGAGGGGTCCTGGCACTGGGGGAGGAAAGCGTTTCCCCACGGGAGAATTCTGTGGAACCAGCTAGCTGGTCCTTGCAATGGTCCCTCCAGTGCTTCCTATTCACTCAAGGGCATTTTTCTGCAGTAACACCAAAACCTGGGTACTGCCCGGAGTTTTTTCTTCCCTGCCCGTTTGAACGGTTACCCGTATGCCAGCATGATAAAGGGTGCAAGGGCATCAAAAAGTGCTGTTTCTACTACTGTCAGATGCGCTGTGTGGAGCCTTGGACAACCATGTTTTGAAGTGAGTGGCCCCAGATCTGCTGTACTCGGTGCTGCCCCAGAAACCTGCCAGGGGATCCTTCTTATCTGTCCTAGGGCTGACTGCTCAGCACCCGTGGAAATCACTGTGACCAGAACTTTGAAGTTAGCAGTTGCCTCGAAAACCTAACATTCAAGCAGGGAGTAGTGGCCACACCTATAATCCTAGCATTTGAGAGGTTGAGACAGAGGGATTAGGAGTCCAGTGTCATCCCTGGCTATGTAGGGAAACTAGTTTGAGGTCATCCTGGGTTATATAACACCCTCTTGAAATGGGTACCTTCCCTGTATGATGGGACCATTTGGACAGCATTATCTCTAAGCCACCCATCTATTATGGAATTTTTTTGTCATGGTTATTTTCAACTTCCCCTTTTCTCAGTTTGTTGTAATTCACATTTAAATTGAAAAGTAAAGGATTATAAGTTCATAATTTCGTATTTGACTTGCCTAGAGTCCTCCAGAGCTCAGTCCTCAATTCTTTGACAGACAGCACATCCCAGTTCTCTTGGGGGAAGATAAGCTAGCAAGATTCAGGCCGTGGGACAGTGGGATCCCAAAGCATGTCCCCAGAACAGTTCACAACTGCTTTTGTTTCTGATTTCTCTTCCTAGATGGAAACTCTTTCTTAGTCAAGCCTGGGAAGATACAGTGCCACTGGCTTCAACTTGGATGGCTGATCTCGAGTTCCTCGGTCTCATAGGCCCCTTTTATTAGTGAGTTAAATGCAAATTAACATTAGAGCAAAATAAAGAAATAAATCCCCATGTTAATGACTGTTTCCTGACATCATAACCAACTGCTTGAAAGCTAGATACTTTAAACATAAAAGAAATTTATTTCTCTTTCCGTTCTGGAGGCTCGGGAACATACTATCTGTCTGGTTTTAACTCTGGTTAGGGCCTTGAGGTGAATGGCACCACACAGTGCTGGCAACACGTGGGAAAAATCAAGAGCATACAGAAAGAAATAAGGGGAGGCACCAGCCCATCCCAAAGGAAAAATTCCAGTTCTACCAGACAGGCACTGCTTGTTTCTGAATGTCTTATGCGACCTCATCAACTGCCACCAGGTCACTCTTCTTAAAGGTTCCCTACCACACAATGTGGCCACACTGAGCCCAAGCTTGCCGTGCATGAACTTTTCGGAGAAACACTCAAAACAAATCCACTGCGTACTTTTAACTATGTGAAACTCTGTAAGATTTCTCTCTTCGCCGCCTCCTCTCCTCTCTACCTCCTTCCTCCTCCTCTGTCCTCTTTTCCCTCCCTCTGCCCTCCTTTTTTCTCTTCCCTTCCTCCCCCTTCTCTCTCTTCCAGAGATCAGATTCCAGAGATTTTAGGGTTGAATTTTTAGCATTTGTTCCTGACGGAGGACAAGCACACCATCCTGATTTGGAAGAGCACATCGTGTATGCTACAGCTTCCTGGACACGGCTGCTGAGTCCTTCCCACATCTTGGTCTAGGAACTTTGGAAGTCTGAGTTAGAAATAAGCCAGGGATGGTCTTTCATCCAGAGTGACTGAAGGCTGGGGAGATGATCCATAGGAGACGTGTGTGCTGCCCAAGTATGAGCTCCACAGTTTGGGTCCCCAGGCCCATGTGTGGCACGTGCCTGTAACACCCCTGCTGGGAGGTGAAGGGAAACAGGAGGCTCTTGGGGGCTATTCGGTCAACTATACCTAGCCAGTTAGTGTGGAGACCCAAAAAACGTGAGCCTGTTCCACCTTGTCTGGAGGTCAGAGAGTTTGGGTTTATTTTGCTGTCTCAAAGTTGTTGACAACAAGCGTGGCTACACACCCTAACCTAGGGTGTGGTGACTTGGTGGTTTGGACAATAAGATGGCCCATAGAGGTAGGTTCGCTCTACCCTGACCAAAGGTCAGAGAATTCAAGCATACTTCTGCTTCCTCTTTTGAAATAGGGAGTTTGACCTAGGGAGTGACTGCCTTCAGGATACCTGGTCTAGGGTGTGTTAGTGACCTAAACAACAGAATGCTTTTCACGGGATATAGTTGCTTGATGTTTCAAGTACTGGAGCAAGTAACTGTTTGGGTTGTCCTTTGTGACATTTTAAAGCTGTCTTTTGCCTTCTTCCCCCTTTTGTATTGGGGTACAAAAGTGTATGAAAAATAAATGTAGGCAAACTCAGAACTCAGCATTCATTATTCACTCAGTCGTCCTCCTGTTACTATCCTGTATCTTTGTGTTTCTTTCTTATCTCTGTTCCTCCTACGTAATGTTTCTAATCCTCGCGCTCCTAACCCGGAATGGAAAAACACACTGTGGCTAGGATCGCAGCAGAAGTCACCCCAAAAAGGTGGTTCCCGACAAGTTAGTGAACTCTAGGTTCAGTGAGTGAACCTAGAAAAAGTAAGATGGAGGATGACAGAAGAAGATGCCCAGTGTTGACCTCTGACCTCCACATGCACACACAGGCATGCACTACACTCAGAGAGAAGGGGAGAAGAAGGGAGTGGTGGTAGTTGGCTTTTTGTTTTGTTTTGGTTTGATTTGGTTTTTGGTTTTTACTCTTTACTCTTTGCTTTGGGGGGGAACCTGCTACCCAAGTCCCAAATAAACATATGGAGACTTATTATTACATATGAATGCCTGGCCTTAGCTTGACTTATTTCTAGCCAGCTTTTCTTAAATTATCCTGTTTACTTTTTGCTTCTGACCTTTTATCTTTCTCTGTTTCTGTATGTCTTTACTTCTTACTCTGTGGCTGGCTGTGTAGCTGGCTGACTGGCCCCTGGTGTACTCTCTCCTCTTTATCACCTTCTATTTGTTCTTTCTGCCTGGCAGTCCTGCCTATCCCTCTCTCCTGCCTAGATATTAGCCATTCAGCTCTTTATTAGACCAATCAGGTGTTTTAGAGAGGCAAAGGTAACACAGCTTCACAGAGTTAAACAAATGCAACATAAAAGAATGCAACACATCTTAAACTAATATTCTACAGGAGGGGTAGAGAACTAAGGTCTTTATGGTCTTGAAATTTAAATTATTATAAATTAGCGATTGGAGAAAGAGATCCTGTGTGGCTCATCCTAATCTCATAATAGTAAAACATTTTCTGATTGAGTTTCTTCACTTCATGCTCTGTGCTTCCAGCTTCCTTAAGAACCACAGTGAATGCTGGGCAGTGGTGGGGCACGGTTTAATCCCAGCACTCAGGAGGCAGAGACCGGTAGATCTCTGAGTTCGAGGCCAGCCTGATCTACAAACGTTCCAGGACAGTTAGGGCTACACAGAGAAACCCTGACTTGAAAAAAACAAACAAACAAACAAAAAGAACCACAATGGTAGTAGAGATTTGAAAACAGAACCTACTAAATTTTTGTAACAAATACAAAAAAAGTTTGAGGGAAACTATTTATTCAAAGCTGTGTTTTCAGTTGCCAACTGTCATTTTTATAATAGTTGCATAGTCACAGTAAGTGAGCGTAGCAAAACCACTGAAGGAGACCATTCTGTGTGTATAAAAAGGATTTACTGGAGAACACACTGCTGAGCTGTCTCCTGGGGTCAGAGAACAACAGCCCAGCCAGGAGAGCAAGCGGGCTTTCTAGGGTTCCTGAAGATTTAAGGGCAGATCCCTTTCTCTCAGGAGACTTTTTTTCTTGTCTTGGGTAGAACAGAGTCCTTAGGCCAAGCCTCTAGGAAGGGTCTGATGCAATCAGGCCAGTTTATGTATAGATGTCCTTTTGCCTGTGGTGGATGGCCATCTAGGGGGGACCAAGAAAATTGCAGTTATCTGATAAACAAAGTCCCTGAGTCACAGGGATTTTGAGAACTGCTGTTAGTTTCTATTTACTCGTGGCCATCTGCCCCAGCTAAGCTCAGACAGCTATTTTAGGGCATTAGCAGCCACACCACCACCTTCAGTCACAAGGTGTAAAATCTTACATACAGAATTAGTAGTGTCGTTTACATAAAATGGGTGCAATGCATTTTTCAGCATTCTTAGTGAAACTGAATTATGTCTTCATTTGATGGTAACATTGACTAACAGCAAGACAAAAAAAAAAAGGTGAGGGCTAGAGAAATAGCCTAGTGTTTAAGAGCACGGGCTGTTCTTCCTGGGGACCCAGGTTCTATCCTATGCACCTACATGGTGGCTCACAATGATCTGTAACTCAAGTTCCATGGAATCCAGTGCCCTCGGCTGGACCCCTCGTGCATGCACTCGGAGCACAGACAGGCATGCAGGCAAAGCACTTATACACACAAAATAATAAAATATCTGTTTTGAAGATAGAAGTAATTCCAACAGCAGTGAGCCCTTTGCCACGAGTCAACTTCAGCTGTTCACTGGGGGAAGAATGTTATCCAAAGAGCAATTCTTTCTCCTCCTTGAGAGAATATGGGCCCCTTAAACTTAATAGCAATAGACGTGTGTTCTTAATTGAACTGCCATGTGAAGTACAGCATGGGAAAACCATTTTTTCTTGTTGAATTTTAACTTCCGTAGTTACTAACACAATGACACCGTGAGTCAATAAATAATTGCTGTTAATTGGGAACAATAGTTACATCATCTCATGTGCAAGGCTGTATGCCTTCTTCAGCAAACTGGGCAGCCTTCCTTAATTCCAGGAACAAAACCTTTCCCAACAGTACACTTCGCAGACAGCAAACACATGCCTGAGCTAGTGACCCCACCCTAGAAGCCGGCAATAGATAGGATTTTAAGGATTGCCTTCCCTGTGATGAAGATGATGCAGAATTCAGCCTTATCCCAGATACATAAACAATTCCTTTGTGCACCCGAGTTGAAGTCATTATACTAAGTAACTTCATAGCCTTGGACTTTCTTATGGAAAACTAGAGGGGGGTTTAGTCCTATCATTTTGAAACCAGTCAGTCCCTCGGCTAAAGGGAAAGCCGACCTAGATATCTGACGTAGGCTCAGCTCATTGTAATCTATTTTCATAGCAGGGCCTGGAAACCCTTCAGTCACGATTCTTCAGTGTCTCCCAG